TAGCAGGGTCTTAATAGATTGTGCAGGATGCTTAACGAAAGCTAGGTGTGGTAATCATTATCTTTTAACAATTATAGATGTCTCAACCAGACTTCCTGAGGCAAATTCTTCGGGAAAAATTATGCCAAAATAAGAGTGGAAAAATTAATTCTTTTTTTCACAAGAAATTGATTACAATATGATTTAGATTCAATTTGATGTCACAGATATTCAAAGAAATAACTAATACTTGGGGGAAAAACAATTTTACCTTCAGTTTATCATCCATGATCTCAAGGAGAATTGAAAAGATGGTATCAAATTTTAAAGTTCACAATTAGAATTTATTGTCAGGAATATCTTAACAATAGGAATAAAGGAATTCTCTTGGTATTGTTTGCCATTAGGGATACCCATAATGAGTCCATAGGATTCAATCCTTTATGGATTGGACATGAGGTGAAAGGACCCCTTAAATAAATTAAAGAAAAAATATAAACCAAAGCTCATGTACTACACTTTTAAACTGTGTGTCAAATTTCCAAGGGAAACTAGCCAAAGCATATGAGTTGGCCAAAAAAACTGAATAATGTTCAACAGATGAGGAAATTGAGGGCAGATAAAAAGTTCAAAGCTCAGAATTTTGTCATTGGAGAGAAGATGTTAATACACTTACCTGTTAATACTCTTACCTGTCTCTGGGAAGCCATTAAAAGTAAGGTTCATTGGACATTATCAAATCAAAAAGAAATTCACTGATGTAAAAAATGTAGTGAATACTTCGGCCAGGAAAAGAAAATCAACGAGTATGTCATGTTGACATATTGGAATGATACCATAACAGGGAGGATCATCAAAACAGAGTATCTTTACAGTGGTGAAAAATGTGGGAAGTGAATTAGGATAATAAGAGAAAGAAGGAATGATTGGATAATATGGAGATGCTGGGAAAGTCAGGTACATTATTATGCCAAAATCCAGAAAACTAACGTAGTTACTTACTGGAGCTAACACAAACAAATAAATTAATAAATCAATTTTTGCAAACAGGACCGGAAAAAGTTCTTGGCTATGCATGATATTAATGTAGGGGATGTGTTACCCATAAAACAACATACTTATTGACTCAATCGAGAGATGTTAGCTAATGTAAGAATAGAACTCAAATTCATGGTGAACAATGATGTTATTGAACTGAGTGACAGTAGCTGGAGCTCACTTATTGTGATGATGCTGAAACTATATGGATCACAATAATTGCTTGATAATTATCACAAAATCAACAGAGTAACAAAGCTGAATTCATATCTGATTCCACAAGTGAAAGATTGTATTATGGTGACTGGAGAAGGATGGTTTGTTACAAAATTTGGCTTTTTCAAAGGATACTGGTAAGTTCTATTTATTGATACAGCCCAAGAAATGTCAGATTTTGTCACACCGGATGGATTTATCATTACTAAAGTCATATGATTTGTATGAGAAATTATAGTATCAACTTTTCAACAGTTAAACAATAAGATTATCAAAGGATTATCCAACTCTGTTGTATACATAGCTAATTTGATAATGTTCAGTTAAACCTGAGAAGAACATTTACAACACTTTAACAAATTGTTTGATTGGTTACAAAGAGCTCGTTTAGTCATAAATTTGTTTAGAAGTGGATCTGCCAAAGCAAAAGTAACTTATTTGAGTCACATTGTGGGACAGTGCCAAGTAGCTCCTAAAGGAGCAAAACATGAAGGCTATCTTGGATTTTGCCATGCCAAAGACAAAACACAAAATTGATTATTATTGAAAGTTTGTTCCAATCTTGAGCACTGTAGTGGTTCCTTTGACAAGCTTGTTAAAGAAAGGCAAAAGATTTGAATGGACAACAGAATTTCAAAATGCCTTTGACAACTTGAATGCTGTATTGACTACCACATCAGTTTTAGGAACATCAAATTATGCCAAGCTGTTTAACTTGGCTGTTGATGTCAGCAATGTCAGAGCTAGTGAAGTGTTTTGATGGGGGGGTCAAGATGGGCATTAAATAACTAGAATCATCGAATCCCTACAGTGTGGAAGCCATTCAGCCCATCAAGTCCACACTGCCTCTCTGAAGAACATCCCACCCAGACCCAATCTCCCACCCTATCCCTATAACCTTGCATTTCCCATAGCCAATGCATCTAACCTACACATCTTTGGACTGTGGGGGAAAACCGGAGCACCCGGTGGAAACCCACAAAGATACGTGGAGAGTGGGCAAATTCCGCACAGACGGTTGCTCAAGGCTGGAACTGGAACCCAGTCCCTGGTGCTGTGAGGCAGCAATGCTAACCACTGAGCCATTGTGCCGTCCAACTAGTCAGTTATTTCCCTACAGAAGTGAATTTGTATGAACAGAAACATTCAACAGTGGAGAAACAGACACTGAACCTGCTGTTAGCTCTACAACATTTTGAAACCTACATATTCAACAATTCTACAGAGACTGTAATTTATATGATCTTCAGTTCCTTGAACAATTTTATAATAACAACCTGAGACAGTTTTGTTACAGTCTAATGTTGAAACCATACATTTTGAAAATCATTCATAGAATCATCCAGCACAGAAGAAACCCTTTGGTTCATCAGGCCTGCTCTAGAGAACTACTCTAAATCTTCACTAGTCCCACTTTACAGCACTATGGCACTGAATGTTAGGATATTTCAAGAGACATTCAAGTAGCAAGAAGAGATAATACTATAATGGATGCTATTTCCAAGAGCAAATATGGACCCATTAACATGCAATGTGTGGTTAATGTAAAAACATAATCACATTTAAAGTAAAATGTAAATTGTAATGAGAAAATTTTAATAGAAAATCAAAATGCCTCTTAAAAATACAGTTTACTTTTATGATGAAGGTTTATAATAAGAGTATTATTATTTTTAGGGAATTTGTATTCTAAAGTAGAGGTACATGGATTTTTCACTTTTACTTCTGTGAGGGTGACTTGCTTTTATAAAGGGCCAGAAACAATTTATTTCAGAATATGGTCAAAACAGCATTTCCAATAAATCATGCAACTTCAGCTAAATGACTAGACAAGATACCTGGTCAGACGTGTGTTTACTAAGTTGAACTTTTACAAATCATAAAATAAAGAGATCAATGGCTAGAAGGAGATTGAGTTCAGAAGAAAAGATACCAGCAGATAAGCTGTTCAGCAGCCTCAAAGCAGTCAAAGTAACTGAAAAATGCACTAAGGGTTTCCCTTAGAGTTCAGTGAGAAAGTATGTCTTGGGGAGAGACAAAACCAATCACATCTGGTGAACGTGCAGAAACTGCTATAGAGAAAATCTTACAATCTCATCAGTTGAATAAGAAATTAAAGAGAGAAGATAAGAGTCTTACTCCTAACAGGGGTTGAGTATCTGTAAAGAATACTGCTGGGGAAAATGGTTAAAGCTTTCTTTTTGATGCGTATGTTATGATCTATCCAAGTTATCACACATATGGAGCTTTGTTTTATCTTTTCTTTGTGGAATAAATTTATGTTTTTGTTTTAGATTACATTGGCAGCATTGCATGAACATGGTCACTGGCTGACCACTATGGTAAACACATTTCAGAAGCAAAACTCATGGCCTATCAAGCTAAGGTTCACTCTGGAGTCTGACCATCAGCTGAAATGATGACAGTGCGTGTCCATGTCCAATGATAATAGCTGTCCACTGGCACATCATCCAAATGGTCACTTCTGAGATGAATGATAAGTTATTCGAGAATTGGGGCTTCACATCTGCCTGTACTTCATCCATACTTTCTTTCATTCTTTCATGAGATATAAGTATCTCTGGCAAGTTCAGCATTTATTGTTCGACCCTTATTGCCCTTGAATGGAATGGCTTCCTAGGATCATTTCAAAGGGTATTTAAGAGTCAACCACAATGCTATGAATCTGGAACCATATGTAGGTTCAGACAAGGTAACGATGACAGGTAGGTTTTAACAATGATGAAGGAGAGTTTAATGGTTGCCATTACAGTTTTTAATTCTAGATTTAAGATTAATTTAACTTTAATACCACCAGATGCCATAGTGGGATTTGAACCTGTATCTCCAGAACATTAGGTACAGCCTATGGATGTCTATTCCAATGACATTCCCACTCCACTCCTATCTCTCCATGCACATGCAAGATGCACCTTCCAGCACAAGTGACTGGAGTCAAGCTTTGATTGAGCGATAATGTGTGATTGGGAACAATTCACCAGAGGATCACTGGTTGCAGGGATGACGAGGGTGGTGATGGCGGTTAGAAAATCTGGCATCCAGCACCTTTTGTGGCACAGGACCCTTACTATTGTGGACATCGGAAGGTCAATGATCACCACAATGCCTCTTGAGGTGAAGTAACTTGCCAACATTACCGCACGAAGAAAGATGTGAGGACATGCAAGTTGCTTATGAAATAGCTCCCATTTTCAGAAGCAGTAAAAAAAGAGAAAAGCAAATGAGGCTTATTTACCTTATTAATTGGACTGGAATTATTCCCAAAGTCAGTGCACATACTCCATCATATCAAGTGACACATCAGGTGGCTGGAGAAATTATCCTCATCATAGAGGGAGAGGTGAGAAGTGGCATGCAGCACTAAAACATTCAGGCACCCATTTACCACAGCAGGAATTAAATATATCAATGTTTAAAAGTGATTAAAGTTATCTGTATGACAAATTAAATCTCCCAGTAATATACAATAAAGGTCATCCATGCGATATCTTATTATAAATTGCTCAATTATATTATGTTATTCCATCAGAGCTCATGTATAAACAGTGCCATTTGACTCCTTGCAATGCATGCACTCATCAATCTGTCAGTCTCCTTGCAAGGGGAATGGACTACAAATAACATGCTGCAAGTTGTTCACTCATTTCCCACTTTGCGTCCCCACTGAAAGACACTTTAAATGACCCAGCTAACAGTTTCACTGGCACTTTACTGAGAAGGCCCAAAGCTCAACATTCAACACCTACCTGCAGGCTGCTCTGATTTGGTAACTCCTTCACCTCCTGTCGTCTCTGGTGCCGATCCCTTCTGAGTTAGCACTGTTTGTAGAAACTGTAACATTTTAAAAAAAGAACAGATCAGGTTTGTTCAGGTAGAGCCACCGATGGCATCGAAAATGATTGCTGACATCTTAAGTCAAAGAATCTTTCCAGGTTAAAGAGGCACTGCCAATATTTGGAGGATGGAGGGCAGTTTTCTTTCAGAAACAGTTGTGGCTAGAACAGCTCAGGGCATTTCAGTATGTTCCTATTCTGTCACGATGTGTGCAAAAACAGCTTTCCTTCAATAGTTCAGTTGCTATTTAAGGGATAGCTCCAGGTTGCACGCCACAAACAGAGACAGCTCCTGGTGATTGAATTGCCTTCTGTGTGCTGAATCCCTTTATTACTTAAAGTCACAGGTGCTGACATTCTCTCAGGTGGTGACACGTTTAGTCTGTGGCATCAGAAAGCACGTGGAGAGTAAAGGAAAGTCACCTTTTACAAAAAGACAATGGCTTTGGATTAGGAAATTGCAGATGTTAAAGGGAACTGTGGTGAAGTTCTGTTGATATTTGGTGCATTTGCTCAATGATTGTGCTACAGGCTAAGCATCCCAGAGAATAGCTGTTCAAATCTCACCATGGGAATTTTTGGCATTCAATCACATGTGGGCAAACACACAAAAATGTTCATGTTGTCAGACTGAACATCTAGTTCACTCATCTCCTCAGGAAAAAAAATACCTGCCCCCCTTAACAGCTCTGATGTCCATGTGAGTCCAGCCCCATGCTGTGAAATCAAGGACAATCTAGGGCTGGGGAATAACACTGTGTAGATCTTTGGTGAGACCACATTTCCAGGACTGTGTAGCATATTTCATACTTACCTCAGAGAGTTTGTGTCAAAGATTCACTAGGTTGATTCTTGCAATGAGACCACCATCCCATAAGGAGAGGTTGAGTGGGAATGGGCCTGTGCTAGAGTATAGAAGAATGAGAGGAGATCACATGGAAACTAATGAGATTCTGAGTGGGTTGTTCAGGGTAGGTGCTGAAAGCCTGGTTTTCCTACCTGGAGAGTCTAGAATACAGAGTTTCAGGATACATTGGTCATTTAGACTGAGATGAGGAGAAATTTCTTCACTCAGAAGGTTGTAAATCTTTGGAATTGCCTTCCCTAGAGAGCTGTGGATATTCAGTTGTTGGGTATATTCAAGACTGAGATTGTTGATCTTGAAGGAAATCAAGAAATGTGGGAATTGTACAGGAAAGTTAGGTTGCAGTGGAAAATCATACTGAATGGTGGAACAGACTGAAATGTCCTCTTCCTGTTCCTATTATTTTCTTCTTATATACCCAAGGTGAGCAATAACTGCTACCTGGACAGGACACTAAACATGACCTTATGAATGGTTGATGTGTCACAACAGCTAATGTACTCACATGAAATTTCTCTATTTGTTATTCAACTTTGTTAATCATTACCTTATACTGGTCTCTGTTACGCCTTGCCTCTTACAGTATAGAACCCACTTACTACTCCTTAACACCGTTTCTGTTTTTGGGGTTTGAGGGCTGACTGACAAGTCCATCAATTGTTGCCCATCCTTAACTAACCTTGAACTGAGTGGCTTGCCAGGTTATTTCAGTGGGTAAACCACATTGCTGTGGGTCTGGAGTCACATATAGACCAGACAGGGTAAGGATGACAGACTTACCACACATGAAACAGATCAATGAATGTTTTTACAATAATCTGGTAGTTTTATTAGGTAGTCCTGATTATTATTACCGAGGCTCACATTTTATTCTAGATTTATTAATTGAATATAATTTTCCCAGCTGTCACATTGTGATTTTTAACTCATGTTTCTGGAGTTTCGGTCCAGGTCTCTGATTAGGAGCCCAATAATAGAATCACAACATCTTCATTTTTCAGGCCCAATGTCCTGCATCTGGAATGTTTATTATGCCATGGCTACACAATGTGGGTGACAAACATTTGGCCGATAATACAGGCAATGCCCAGGTTGTGAACGAGTCTTGTTCTTGAGCCCATTTGCAAGTTGATTGGTAACAGGTTGGAGCACAAGGCAGCACAATATAAAGCAGCCATTTGTATGTTGGATCTTTAAAATTACAATTGTTAGTATGTGCGAGCATTTGTAAATTGGGTGTTCATAAGTCAGAAACATCCTGTATTAAGAAAGTAGCCACAAAATGTGGCTCACAGCCCTTACAGGATCCCGAAACTCAAATAATACTCATTTAAAGGCTTCCTGCTGTCTCAGGTTCTGTGTGCCCTGGCTAAAAAGGGCACTAATATGGCATGCCATACATGCATCAGAAGCATGATGAGGACATGGATCATATGTCAAACAGTTTTAATGCTGATTTGGTACACGATCTACCATTTTGGACCATTAAGGATCTTTAAGAATGAGTCTTCGTTGAACACAGTTACATGGGGAAACCCCCCCTCACCTCCCTCAAACAGTTTAAAGCACTAACTATCCAATTTCAGCTTAGGCATTTTTGCATTTCTTTTGCTGGTATAAAAGTTAGCAAAAATGCTGCATTCAGTGTTACTGAGGAGTTTCACTTTGGATTTTCAAGGGAGTGTTGGTTCTTGACAAAGAGGTTAGAGCACTTGTTGGTCTGGGGCCCATTGTTACACTCTGTCTTGGGCTGCAGTACCATTTGGAAAGTGTGCATATCCACCAAAGAGGGGATGAAGTCCAATGAGAGAAAAGGAGAACACCCTATTCACGAAGGCTCTTTAGAGGAATTTCTGCTACCTCTCCCGAGCCAGGGAAATTTGTGTGTGAGGTGCTTATGTTTCACCGAAGAGATGACGGCTATGTTTGAGCTGCCTCTGATAACCTAACCTGTAGCTGCCCAGCTGCATTCGCTATCCTGAACCTTTCAGCCAAATATCTCTGAGAGAATTGCAGCAGTTTTTAGATGTTGAGGTCTGAGGCCATCTGTCCTACAAATGGGGCAGGATGCTTTTAGGCCAGCACTGAGCTTACATGGAGCTGTCTCCACACCTGCCACCAATGCCACATCCCACCCCTGTTGAGCCTAAAGGCTTTCAGTAGCATGTTTCACACTGGGCTGCACATCCCAACCATTTAGTAGAGCAAACTACACTGTACACTGTACAATGTTTGCTTGCAGCCTTCCTCAATGCCACTGAATGTGGGATCATCACACAACCTAATCCAATTTTTGCACAATCTATGTTGATGTTACTCTCTAAATAAACATTCTGCTTCCACACTTCGAAATGGGAAGATAATTTAGGACTCTCACAGTCTGGGAAGGCAGAAGCATTGATGATGTTTGTGGTCGAGATGAGAATTTTATAAGAGATTGGCACATTTTAAGCCTTAGCGTACATTAATTTCCCTTAAAGGCTTGTCCACATTCCTATTATTTTATCTGTGAGTAGTGATCAAAACATTACTAAACCTAGCAAGTCATCCTTACTACCATTAACATTAAGCATTTAGAAATGGTTTTAATTAAATTAAATTCATGGTTTAATTATGCTGTCCAAACTACTGAAAGATGGTCTACATACTTTCAAATCAACCTGTTATGACTCTCCTCTGGAGCTGGTGGGGCTTTAACCTGGGCCTTCTATCTCAGAGGTAGGGACACTACTACTGTGTCACAGGCATGCCCTGAGAGATAGTCTATTTTGAATAGCAACACAGGTAATTACAACAATAATGCATGTAGCTTGATGCCTTCATGACTTTCACTGAATCATGTTACAATTTATCTGATCAGTCTAGAAGATAACCTCTCTCTGGGAAAGGATCATCTGTAATTTACAGAATTGGGATTCCCATGTAATTCAGATAACACGGCTATTTTGTATTTTTTTAAAAAACCAACCTGTTCAGAAATGTTATTAAACACCACTGGAGTAGGTGAGAATTGAACACAAGCCTTTTAGTTTAGGAGTAGAAACACTACCACTATGCCACAAATTGTGTAGCTCTGTCAGTCATCTTAATGGTATTCAGAGGCAGGTGAATATGTAATGAATCACCTTCTACTGATGGCCTATTCTTATTGTATACTGCAGGCAGGAGATTAAAGAACCATCACTAAATTTCTATTGGTTGGTCGCACTGACTCCCCACCAATTGGATAATGAGGTTTTAATTGATATCTTGAAGCTTCCAACATTGAAGCAATCATGTACAGATTAGCAACACATTGCTTACTTATCAAAAGATGATTATTCGTCAAGTGATAAGAAATGGTACTTTGAGTGAGAGAGAGAGTGGGGATATAGTTTCCTGGGTTTGTCTCTATTCCACTGTTGCAGTCTCCAGCCTCCAGATTTTTGAGCTCCTTATTCCCCTGTCTGCACTTGGTTACACTGTTTATAGAGAGGTGCCAGGTAAGTACTGGGTGTCCCCACCACCACACAAGGTAGTCAGTCCAGGCTGTCATTACAAAAATATGCAGAAAATGGCTCATAACAAAGCCCATGTTGGGGGGGGGGGCATGGCTGTACAAGCACCAGGAGTGATAAGAAATGAGAAAGGAAAGCATTAGGGTCCATGTGTATTGTTTAGAGCTTCTCTGTCTTCATCATCTTTGCAGACATTCCAGAATCTATCCGGTCTGTCACATACGTGCAGGCTCAGTGCTGACCTTGCTTGGTGAAGTACAAACACGGATGCACACGGCACATAGTGCTTCCCATATCTTTCCCACAGCGAGTCCTCAGTGAGTACTGTAGCCTGCTAGGGCAGGAGCATGGCTATTATAACGTGCTCAGAGCTTTGCAGTGGCCACAGCTGCCTCTGAGCTCCAAACCCAAGAATTCAGCTCCTTTGGGAAGCCTGGCCATAGTAACCAGGAGCAGCTTTCCCTGGCTGATTCCTATCAAGGGCTTCAGGATTAATCGTCATGACGACCCTGCCTGAGAATGGCTGGTTGAGCATAGAGCAGAGAGTGAGCTGGGGACCTGGATTATATTTGAAGAGGGCCTATTGGCCAATTGGTGATGTTACTAGGTTAGCAATCCAGGACCACAGTCTCCTTCACTTGGAGATATGGGTTCAAATCTCATCATGGCAGGTTGTATTCTACAAAAATCTAGTCCAATTGTAACCATGGAAACACTGTTGATTGTGTGAAAACCCATCTAGTTCACTTTACGGAAGGGAATCTGCCATTCTTACCTATGTGACTCCAGACTCACACAACGTGTGCTAACTCTATGACAATGATGGATGGGCAATAAATGCTGGCCTAGCCAATGATACCTGCATCGTGTGAGCAAATTTAAAAAAAAATTTGGACATTTATTATTTGTGAAACTATTACAAATCACAAATCTAATGACATAATTGAAGTCTGCGGGATATAAGGGACCATGGTGCGGATTTCAAAACCGGCAATTGCTGGAGAAACTCAGCAGGTCCGGCAGCATCTGTAGAGAGAAAGGAGAGTTAACGTTTCGAGACAAGTGACCCTTCTTCAGAAAGTTACTGCTTAGTGACTTTCTGAAGAAGGGTCACTGGTCTTGAAATGTTAAAACTCTGCTTTCTCTCCACAGATGCTGCCAGACCAGCTGAGTTTCTCCAGCAATTGCCGGTTTTGCTTCAGATTTCAAGTTCTTTGAATGGTGCTGTGTCCCACTGTATAGATCCTCACTCTGGTACTGGTGAGTGAGAAATACAGTGAGCAGTTCACATCACTTCTGAAATTACATGCCATAGGATAGTAGTCTATGAATACATGATAGTCACATTGTATTCCTTAACTTTAACCGCTTCCTTCACCTAACCACTGTGCCTCTGCTCTTTGGTGCAATAGGTAGTTTATTGACCAAAGTAAAATCACCAGCGGGAATTTCACAGTACCTTACTCCCCTCAGGAACTGGGGCTGTAGCAGCGCCCCCTGCACTCTGTCCACTTCCCGAGCTCCGAACAGTGGCCACGCTTCCTGTGCTCCCCGCACTGCTGCGGTCCCCACCTGTAACAAAAAGATCAGAGCGGGGATCGAGGTGCTGCTTGATAGTGCTCGATGTCACAAACATACAAGTGTACCATTGGGAAACACAGCAGCTTTTGGTGCATTACTGCTGCGGTAAATGTTTTCCCAATCCTATCCCACTCTCCCTGATTTCCAGGCCAGAGCTCACCAATCTCTGGCCCTGACTGTCATCTTTCTAGAATCCCATTCTTGGAACTGTCCTGGATAATGAAGCATGTACAAAGCGGATGGGAAAAGTTGGAATTGAAGCCTGACTGTGCTCCATAGAATCTGCCAGTGAATGGATACTGTGTGCACAGGAGAGTGACTGGAAGCTGAAATAAGTCCACAGAGTCCGGTATCCCATCTCCAAGTCACCCTTTATTTACTCGTGGAAAGTCCATGACACTGATCTGGCTTCCTCAGAGCCAGCTCTGAGAGTGAACAGAACCCCCGACACCCCTGTTTATATCTGTCAGCCAGGGCTCCCTGATTGGACCAGGTTAACAGCCCCAATCAGGGAACTCATATTCTATGAGGTCCACCAAGCTGACCCTGTTACAATCACTACAGAAGATATGCCAATTGTCTCTAATGAAAACCTGCTCATGGTGGGTGCAGTGAGAAGGGATGCCCCTTCCGTCTGTGTTACACTGGGTGCTGAGCAGTGGTGCCAAGGCTGAATGGGTCTGCAGACCAGCACTTGCCTGGCATCTGTCATTGAGAGTGGACTGATCCCTCAGCTGCCAGTGCATGTTGGTCAGAAGGGGTAAACAGTAGCTTTACTCATGGTCTGTTCTCATGCTGCTTGCCCACAGAGGTAGCTTTAAGGAGCAGCTTAAAGTGTGTGAGAGAGAGGGAGAGATGAAAGGAGTACATTTCAGAGCTAATGGCCTAGGGAGCTAAAGACATGGTCCCCTACAAAGTAGCAATTAAAATCAGAGCCAAACACCTATTTATTGCTTCAGGCTCACTTCTTGAAACACAGACATTTCTAGGTGGGATGTTTCCTACCTCATGAGCTTCTGACATTGTTCCCTCATCAGCCCAAGTAATGGACCTCTCGGGATCTCTGAGGTACTTGATGCGTATTGCAAATCTTGTTATTGAAACAAAACAAATCTTCCAAGAATATCTATTCTAGACCTTCGGTAGGTTTCGCAATGTTTTTGCAGCCCATTGTTGTATAGGACTTTCCCATTCTGCATCACGCTATACCTCAATGGGAGACAATGTGGAACTGCACAGAAAGATACCATTGTGTCCATTGAGCCTGTGCTAGCTCTGTGGAAGCCACCATGTCCTCTCTTCTGCCCTTTTCCCTCAGGGCTCTTCAAATGTTTCTCCTACAAGTATTGATCCACTTTGCTTTGGAAATACGTGACAGAATCTGTGCCCTACTCCCTTTCATACGGTGCATACCTGATTATACTAACTCATTGCTAAAATAAATTTCCCCACTTGTCCTTTTATTGATTACCTTTAAACAGTGTCCTCTGCTAACTAACCTCCTGCCGGAGAAAATAATTTATTTTTTACTCCTATCAACCTTGCCCCCTCATTGCTTGAAGACCTCTATTACATTAACATTCCCCTTAACATCTGCAGGTCCAAGAGGAATGATCCCAGTATTTCTAGACTTTCCACACATCTGAAATCCCAGATTCACCCAGTCCCTATTCACAATGGGGTAGTGCTCTGTTTAATTCCTTTGGCAACTTAAGAGAGTCTGATTATATTTCAAACAGCATGGGAAGGAGGTGGGAAGTATATTTGGATATGTCAGGTGACCAATAGTGAAGGGACCATTGGAGGCAATGGCATGTGGTGAGATCACCCCAGCAATTTACCAAACTAGAAATAGGAGCTGACATGCAGAATTGCAGAAAGCTTCTGAACACAGAGAACCAGCTTCCTACCTTGTCCTGAAAACACAGGCAATGGGCCTACAATATACTGGAGCCCAGGACTGTATGCTGTGCAGTGCTGCAGCTGTATTGTGACTGGAACATCTGCCATTGTGTGAAATTGCTTCCAAAACCACCCTCACCACCCCACAGAATGAAGCCAAACACAGCCGTCTTGCCACAGGCATCACCTCAGTAATTAAACAGTGAAAACAGTAACGGACTAGAGCTGTTACATTCCCACCTTGTCAGTACATTTAAGATGCCGAACCAATTCAACATCTTTTGCATATACATCAACTTTGAGGAGTAGGTTGTGACAGTCTTTTTTGTGTAAGTAACAGACTCTAGTCACGGAGCCTTTAACTGCTAGTGTTATGTAAAAATTAAAATCTACTCTGTACATTTTATGTACATTCAGTGAATTGTGTTCGTAGCTTGCCTCAAAATGAGCTGATTTAATCTCTTTAAATTCCTGCATGTTTGAGCAGACCAGACGTTTTTTAAAAGACTCTTGTATTTTTAAAATATTGCAATTGAAGTGGCCCAATCCTGGCTTTAACCTCCCTTGAATTCATTCAGAATTCTGTTGCTCATTCTCCTATCGTCCCCATGCTTATTGACCGACACTGATTTCTGACTAAGAAATGCTTTGATTTATAAACTCTCATCTTTGTTTCCAAGTCCCTCCACGGCCTCTCCATTCCCAGATTCTGTAATCTCCTCCAGCCTCATGACTCTCTAAGATATCAGTGCTCATCCAGTTGAAGCCTCCTGAACATCCCTCATTTAATTTCATCAAAACTGGGGGCTGTACCCACAGCTACTGGGGTCCTAAGCTCTGCTACTGCATCTCTACCTCATCTACCTACTCCCTCCACATTTAGGACACTCTTTGAAACATATCTCCAGCCAAGATTTTAGTCATCTGCTCTAATATTGCCTTATGTAGTGTATTGTCCAACTTCAAAACACTCCTCTGAAGTGCCTTATATTAAATTTGGTCTAAGAATACAAGTTGTTGACTCTGATAAAATACACAGCTGCAAGTCAATCCGAAATATCAAACACAATTCAAAAACTGAAGCCCTGTGCGATGTTTATTTCCTTATATTGAAATTAAACCTCAGAAGTCTCAAACGTTGTTGACATTGGGATCATCCAATTTGCAATAGTTCTGGATTTGGACATGTATTATTTATGAATATTAAGCGATTTCCCAAAACTCCTGTACAGAGGAAAATACAGGGGGCTATATCTTTGTAATATATTTCTAAGTGTTTTATTGCTCAAACACCAGGGCGTGAAGCACAGGCTAATTTATGAGGTGTTAACAAGAGCTCCAATTTGGAGCTGATGATTCTGCTTGGCTTGAAATTGCAATAATTTGAAGGGAACTGGGTAATATAAGAAATCAGGTAACAAAGGGATTTCTTATCCATCTGTAAACATATCATGACTAAAATCGCACAGTCTGGTTTTGGACCCTGTAGCATTTTATTTGTGTCTGTGTGTTTGTCAATGATTAGCACAACTTCATATCTACGACCCAAGCATTTTCAGACTGGGCGCAGGCCAGATGTGAAAACCAGTTTTCTTTTTTTGTGGCCCTCTTTTTGTAACATTCTGCCGATCAGCTGCTCATCAGTGGGGACATAAAATCTGCAGGCACTATTACAGCATGAGGCAAAGCTTTGAGGGAAAGGAGGCTGTGATGCCTGTGGATGGGAGGTCCGTGGACGGTAATGTTATCTTCATTTTAAAGCCTTTCAGCATGAGTGATGAGGGAACTATCGACCTACCTTCTTTCCAATGCTCCCACAGCAGCTTCTGTCAAGTCACATACAAAAGTGGAGGCAAAGTGAGCCTCGAGGGTAAAGAGGGCATTAAATTCGTTGCTACCATGATGGTGGCATTCCATGCTAAGCGAGTCAAGGTAAATTGACCGTCTCATTTTGAAACAATTTTGTCTAATTCTTTGCATGCATATATGAAGCGATTAAATGAAGCAGTTTGTTTCTTTGCCAAAACTGAGGTCACATGATTTCATCAAACTCTAAGTCAACTTCAAAATTAGAAAGCACTCATCAACAGAATTTACTGGGGCCAGCTGGCACTTAAGGAGGTGACAAAAGGACAAATGACAAATAACAGAAGCAGGAGACATTGCTGTGCAACATTCATGTAATCCCAAAGACATGAGAGCACAAGAGAGATTCTTGCTTGTGATGGTTTTGTACGATAACAGAACTTTAACACGATTTTTCTCTCTGGAGCTGTTCACCCATTTTTAATTAAATCATTAGTTCGCAAGTGTCTGGTTCCATGCCTTAATTGAATGTAGCTGAAAACATTCCTGTTTCTCACACCCATATCTTGCAGCAACTCTGACTTGGCAACAGTTTTGTGAAAATGTGACAAACACTTGGCCAAATATTTCAAGCTAAAATCCAATTTAGGGGAATGAGCTAACGCAGAAGGAGGCCATTCAGCCCATCATGTTTATATTGGCTTGCAAAGAGCTAACCAATTGGTCCCACTTCCTTGGGTAGAATTGAGCCGGTCACTTACTGTGTGTTCTAACACCCTGCACTGACTCAACAGCAGAAGATTAGATTACATTTGACATTACAATGTTCAACACTGACATCAACACAAAGAGGAAATCTGCAGGACACTAGACTTTGGTTCCTAGATGTATCTACCAGAGTGGTCAATGGACTTCAGTCTTTGTGATACATGAATTATTCATGTGTGGCTGTTAAGTGAACCAAGCATTAACCTGTTTGGTACTAAATTGAATTGAATTAGTACATGCTAGCCCTGGGGTTCCCATGGCATGTTCCAGGCCAGAATTTGGACTTCATCTGACCTTTGAAGAACAATATGGCATAGGTTGGGGTTTTCTGCTGACATGCCTGAAATATTCTGGGCTTTACTGGGCAGTAATACAACCTGTAATATTCAAGGTCAGACTGGATGTTGCAGTTAGAGAATTGAGGCTTCACTCGGTTACCAGAGAGTTAGGTGACCGCCAACAAAATGGACAATAAATGTCAAACCAATAAAAAAGGAACATCTGTATTTATACAGCACCTTTTACAACCTTGAGGTGTCCCAAATCTTTCTGCGATCAATGAATTTCCTTTTTTGTAGTGTGGTCATTATTTTATTATTGGAAACATGGCAGCAATCTGGTCAATCTGTGTTTTTTAAGGTGTTGAGTGAGGGTAAATATTGGCCAAAACATTGCTGAGAACTTCTGGGGATCAAAAAAAATGCTTTCCCTTAGGGCTACAATAGCAGATGTAGTGAGGCTCCCAGAATTTATTGCTGAAGCGGAAATGAAACGTGGCTGGAGACGCTTTCACCGAATCTACCTGCAAATGGTTTCCGTAGTACCCAGATCTCCTCAGGCGTGGTCGTGACTGGTTGCACTGGAGACAGATGGGAAGGACTTGACTCAGAACCGCGGGAACCTGCAGGAATGTCAGTCACATTTTGAATGTGCTTTTTTTAATTAAAAAAACTCTTTTCCCCCTCTTCCTTTCCTTTTCACATTCCAGATTAAGTCATGATGTTTCAACAACAGTAAGGCAGGTTCTTGCTAAATGGCACAGAGTGAAAAGGGGTTGGTTTGATATGAAACCCGGCAGCTCACTGTGTCTAATTTTGTTTTTGTACAGTTTAGCAAAAATAACTGAGCAAAGAAAACAGATTCAGCAGGTTGGAATTTCTGTAATCTACTGTTTGATGCCATTTCCCCACAGTTATAGTTTGGAAGTTATAAGTGAGGCCTAGTGAATAATTATTTCCACCATTTATTTTTTCTAATCTGTGTTTACGTTTTGTTGTCAAGTCTTATTCTTTTGGGAGAGTTTGGTTTAAACATCTGCCTAATTCATTGTTCTTGGTAATATCATATTGTACTACGATGGGAAACATTCACTTGTGGCCTATCCTGGGAATGGGCTATTCCTCCTTTCTCTCAATTGAAGGTGTTTTGGAATCATATAAGGTAAGGCACAATGTGATTACAACAGGGCTGATTACATTCTTGTGGCTTACCAGAGTCCTAGAAAAAGAAACAAGCATGCCAAAGACTCCAAGCCAGAAAACCAGATCTTTCAAAACACACAGAGATACATACAATAGACAAATTACAGATAATGAGGAAAAATATCAGACAGGAATACAAGCATCTTTGAAAGTTAATTAGCCAGTGCGCACAATATTTCACACAACTCTATCTCTCTTCATCTTGATTATTGTGTTGTTTCTATCTGATCAAAAGATTGCCTGGCCAATGCCCACATAGTATTAGATTACCAGAGAAAAATGATATAATAGCTGCAGGATCAAAATCTCAGAGACAGTGGGTTTACAGCAACTGGATCACCAAGGAAATGGATAAGAGAGCGCTCAATCATCTGGGGAACACGGGCAAAGGCAAGAGGATATTATTGACACCAAGTTGACAGTTGCTGGATCACCTGGAGAAACATTACGTCACCTGAGAAAATGGAATAAAAACTGTTCCATTAGCTGTGGAGGTGGTCACATTGTTGACATTTTAAGGACAATGGTGTTCCTTGAAGGACAGCTTTACAAATGTAAGCCATAAAACATTGGTAGCTGTATAGTTTGAAAAACAAAAATCAATATTCATTTGGGGAGGTTCATTTTATTCTATTGCAGTAACATTGCTGCAGCACTTTGAAAGGTTCATTTTGGACATTTTCACAGGTAGGTTAGGAATGTATGATTGTTCAGCAACTCTAAAGCACAAGGAATCCAATTACTAGTTCTAACCGTGTTTTCACTGCATTAATGACTTAATCTCCATCCACACTAATATCAGCTATAGTTTGACCAAAATCTTCTATCACACATGGATGATTATGTTTTACAAAATTGCTCTGTTCAAATATGCATTCTGCTGAAACTAGGTGAAGGAACTGTTTATAGCTGTTGTAAAATTATCATCCAAAGCACTGACCTAAAGCCAGAGGAAATACATTTGGTATGCCGCTATAACATTCATTATTTAATAAATAGAAGTCATTAACATTTGCATTAATATAGCTGCATTCATCAGTTCAGGGCTTCCTAAAGTGCTTTACAGTCAATGAAATAGTCCCACAAACAGCAATGTGATAACAAGTTGATAATCTGTTTTTTAATGCTGGTTGATGGACAAACATTGCCCAGGGCACAGAGTAACTCCTTTTCCTTACCAAATAATGTTGTGGGATCTTTTACATCTACCTGAGAGGTAGATGGGGCATGGGTCTAATCTATGTTCCAAAAGGCGACTGCTGAATAATGCAGTACTCTTCAGTGCTGGCACTGGAGGACCAGCCTGAAGTTGAGCCCAGGTCTCTGGACTAGAACATGAACCATGAACATTGTAACTCAGATGCAACTGAGCTCTAGTTGACACGGGCCTAGACCCTTCATCAGAAAAGGGGGAGGGGAAGGGGGTTCTGAAATAAATAGGGAGAGAGTGGGAGGCGGATAGAAGAGGGATAGAGGAGAGGATAGGTGGAGAGGAAACAAACAGGTTGAAGAGGCGGGGATGGAGCCAGTAAAGGTGAGTGTAGGTAGGGAGTTAGGAAGGGGATAGGTCAGTCCAGGGAGGACGGACAGGTCAAGGGGG